ACTGTAGCCTAGTTCAGTGAACAAATTAAGCTTAAGACCCTACTCAGACGACTACATGGAGCCCTTCTTGTAAAACATCCAGGCAGGAAGCTATTTTATTGTTTTCTAGACTTTGAAAACTAACACTTAACAAGTAGGGTGAAGGAAAATTCAATCTCTCAAGAGAGTTAAGATGACCTAATCTTTCAAAAACATATTTGAAATCATATGCCAAGAGAATTAAAGAATCAGTTCAAATATGTATTTATCAAGTCTTTTATTTAGAGTTTGTCTCTCAAACATAATTCAGGCAGTAACCGACTCAAACTTTAGATCTACTTAGCTAATAAGGTAAGTAAGTTCCCGAAGACCAAGAAAACATTTAAATTCAGAACACCTTAGGAATCAGGCTGCCTGACTTCAGGCTACACTACAAAGCTACAGTAGTCAAGACAGTATGGTACTGGCACAAAAACAGAAAGATAGATCAGTGGAACAGCTTAGAAAGCCCAGAGATAAACCCACGCACATATGGTCACCTTATCTTTGATAAAGGAGGCAGGAATGTACAGTGGACAAAGGACAGCCTCTTCAATAAGTGGTGCCGGGAAAACTGGACAGGTACATGTAAAAGTATGAGATTAGATCACTCCCTAATACCATACACGAAAATAAGCTCAAAATGGATTAAAGACCTAAATGTAAGGCCAGAAACTATCAGACTCTTAGAGGAAAACATAGGCAGAACACTCTACGACATAAATCACAGCAAGTTCCATTTTGACCCACCTCCTAGACAAATGGAAATAAAAACAAAAATAAACAAATGGGACTTAGGAAACTTCAAAGCTTTTGCACAGCAAAGGAAACCATAAACAAGACCAAAAGACAACCCTCACAATGGGAGAAAACATTTGCAAATGAAGCAATTGACAAAGGATTAATCTCCAAAATTTACAAGCAGCTCACGCAGCTCAATAACAGAAAAAACAAACAACCCAATCCAAAAATGGGCAGAAGACCTAAATAGACATTTCTCCAAAGAAGATTATACAGACTGCCAACAAACACATGAAAGAATGCTCAACATCGTTAATCGTTAGAGAAATGCAAATCAAAACTACAATGAGATATCATTGGGCAGAATGGACATCAAAAAATCTAGAAACAGTAAATGCTGGAGAGGGTGTGGAGAAAAGGCAACACTCTTGCACTGCTGGTGGGAATGTAAATTGATACACCCACTGTGGAGAACAGTATTGAGGGTCCTTAAAAAACTAAGAATTACCATATGACGCAGCAATCCATATACCCTGAGGAAACCATAATTCAAAAAGAGTCATGTACCAAAATATTCATTGCAGCTCTATTTACAATAGCCAGGACATGGAAGCAACCTAAGTGTCCATCATCAGATGAATGGATAAAGAAGATGTGACACATATATACAATGGAATAGTAGCCATAAAAAGAAACGAAATTGAGACATTTGTAGTGAGGTGGATGGACCTGGAGTCTGTCATACAGAGTGAAGTCAGTCAGAAAGAGAAAAATACCATATGCTAACACATATATATGGAATCGAAGGAAAAAAAAAAGTCATGAAGAACCTAGGGGGAAGATGGGAATAAAGACACAGACCTACTAGAGAATGGACTTGAGGATATGGGGAGGGGGAAGGGTAAGCTGGGACGAAGTGAGAGAGTGGCATGGACATAAATACACTACGAAAAGTAAGGTAGCTAGCTAGTGGGAAGCAGCCGCATAGCACAGGGAGATTAGCTCGGTGTTTTGTGACCACCTAGAGGGGTGGGATAGGGAGGGTGGGGGCGAGGGAGACACAAGAGGGAAGAGATATGGGAACATATGTATATGTATAACTGATTCACTTTTGTTATAAAGCAGAAACTAACACACCATTGTAAAGCAATTATACTCCAATAAAGATGTTAAAAACTGACCAAAAAACACCTTAGGACATCAGGTTTTCCAAATTGCTAATTTAATCTATGAAAAGCTAAACAAAGGAGAAACACTGGTGCTTTATAAAAATGAAATGATAACATTTTGAAACAAATGTTACAGGTCTATAAATATTCAGTATATAGAATAACCCCTAGTCACTTGCATGTACTTTCTCAAAGCATATTTCTGTACATATACACAATGTATACAGTGGTTAATGATCTCGTCTGTTAGGAAATTTTCTTAATAAGTAAGCCAGAAAACTTCAGGTGTGATTTTCACTAGCATCAGTGAGGCCACCTCAGTAGAAATCTGAAGCAGGTCCCTGACCCATAGAGAAGGTCAGTTAGGAAAGATACTTGTCGTAAAGCAAAATGACACCTGTGAAGAAATGACTCGGTAATTGGAAAACAAATTTTTGAAAAATAAGTGATTTTTATGGTCAGTTATACACTACGATCTGATCAAAAACTCAAAACTTGGGGCTTCCCTGGTGGCGCAGTGGTTGGGAGTCCGCCTGCCGATGCGGGGGACGTGGGTTCGGGCCCCGGTCCGGGAGGATCCCGCATGCCGCGGAGCGGCGGGGCCCGTGAGCCATGGCCGCTGAGCCTGCGCGTCCGGAGCCTGTGCTCCGCAACGGGAGAGACCACAACAGTGAGAGGCCCGCGTACCGCAAAAAAAAAAAAAAACCAAAAAAAAAAAAAAACCAAAAAAAAAAAAAAACCAAAAAAAAAAAAAAACCAAAAAAAAAAAAAAACCAAAAAAAAAAAAAAACCAAAAAAAAAAAAAAACCAAAAAAAAAAAAAAACCAAAAAAAAAAAAAAACCAAAAAAAAAAAAAAACCAAAAAAAAAAAAAAACCAAAAAAAAAAAAAAACCAAAAAAAAAAAAAAACCAAAAAAAAAAAAAAACCAAAAAAAAAAAAAAACCAAAAAAAAAAAAAAACCAAAAAAAAAAAAAAACCAAAAAAAAAAAAAAACCAAAAAAAAAAAAAAACCAAAAAAAAAAAAAAACCAAAAAAAAAAAAAAAAAAAAAAACTCAAAACAAAAAATATTCTTATCTGAGCACAGTGTAAGAAAGATACATAAATGGTAACCAATTATTTTTTAAAACTCCCAACTGGATTTCTTTGCTGGAGGAAAAAAGTAATTTGCGTATTGCAAGAGCAGAAGTATGCCCACCTCAGAGAGGCCCAGCACACTGATGTGTGTCTACACCGTATCAGTGACAGAACCTTCCTGACTTCCCAGGAGAGCCCTGTTGAGCAGCCCTGGTCACTCCTGATTTTAAGGGTATAGATTTCAGCATAGTACTTAGATGAAGAATCGGTGTGTAAAAAAGGCGATTTATGTACGGCTTATTTCCCTTACCAGAGTTTTCACAATGAAATTCCTTTAGGCCAGCAAGTTCTTGTGATTTATTCCTACCTATTCCAGTTTCATGCAGCACATCAGAGCTGCCACTAGCTCACCCAGCCCCCAACAAGACACAGCACCAGCAGGCAGCAGCTTCGGCTTCAGTCCCCTCCCTGCCCGTGGCTGGGGTGCCAGCTCACCCCACAGCCCTCCGTCCCAGGCAGACCTGGCTGCTTAGTCACCTGTCTGCAACGCTGTGTAATCTTTTGAAGCCTCACGTATGCAAGATTTTCTGTATCATTTCAGAGGAGTTCATGGATGACTTCTGGCTAAGAATTCCTGCTATCTTAGTGAAATGCAGCTGTATTTATTAGAAACCCCAGGGATACTGTGGTTATGAGGCAATGACGTCAGTTCAGAAAAAGGAACGGGCAGTTTGGTTATTATTTCTCACCTTGAAACAACATAGGGAGACTTCTTTCCATTCTTTTAGAGCTAAAGTGCTGTAAGACACCACCTCACAGGCGTGGCGTTTTTCACTTGCCTTTGTTCATGCAGTTGAGAACAAGGACATCTGAGCACCTGTGAGAGGGCCGGCTTCCCAGATCCAGGAACCTCTACACGTGCTGATGCTGAGGACATCCTCTCAGCTCTTCAAAGCTAGCTATGAGGACTGAAGGAAAGGAAAGAACTACAGGCTGTTCACCTTCTCTCCACAGACTCCATTCCTTTCCAGTATAAAGCTAAGACAGAGTTGAAGGTTGCAGCGGGTGCTCAAAAATGCATGAGGAGTCAAGGAAGGGCTGAGAGCTTATACCTTATTTTCTAGGCTTTTCTCTCATTAAATCTAATCTCAAAATTCTGGCTTCAAAGTTGTTTGGTTGAAAGCCAAGGCTGTGACACTCCTTGCCTTCCTGCTATGAGCCGCATTCCTCTGAGCTCCATCCCACAGCTGAGCTGATCCCATATGCTCACACTGGACAGTGGTCCCACTTACGTGTCAGTGGTTACAAAGGCAGAGACTACACTACAGAGAAGATAATTTGTCTAGCATCTCAGAAGTCATTTAAAGGATAATAAATACCTCCATTAACAATGTATCCATTTAAAACAGACACACACCAAAGATGACAAGAAGTAAGAAGTGTCCACTGTGGGGTTTTCTCCCAATTGTTTGAAACCATTTATAGATTTAAAACAAACACCCTTTCAACTCTTTACCAGAATGCCTGTATGAGAACCATGGACTCTTGTAGCTGTTCTGCTGGGGAGAAAGGAGTCTCCACCCATCCTGGACAAGAAAAGAAAGACGAGTCTCGCCTGTGCAGCTCACAGGCCAAGGGGGAGTAGGGGGCGGGCGGGGTTCTCCAGGTCATGCTCTGAGGTCTCATCCACAGCACCTGGGGGAATTGAGGGTCTAAAACTCACAAATGAGCCATTCCCTGCTGTGCTGGAGGCCGAGTTGCAGACTCCGACAGCACAGAGGTTCTGGCTGCCTGTGTGTGAGGCTTGGTGGTCTCCTCAAGCTGAGAAATCCTCTAGTGCCAGTTCAAGGAAGCCATGCACACAACCAGCTGCTACGGGTGGTAATGGCCAAACCCTTGGACTGCCTTTGTGACTGACGTGGGGCTGAGCCTTCCCCCTGGCTTGCTTCAGGGAAGGAAATCGGCTCCCAGCACGTTCTGCACCTACCTAAAGCACTCAGTTCAGCCCCAACCCTTGAAACTTGGCAGTATCCGTACAGACAAAGTAAGTCCGCAGTTCGCCTTTGCCTTTGACGTTAATCAGTCCGCGGCATTCACAAGAATAACCTAGTCCCTGGAGGATGGTACATGTCTCTTCAGTAACCTGAAAAGGAAAAGAAACCTAAGTCTTCAGAAGCAGAAAGAAAATCTGCTGTGGGAGGGATGAAGAGAAATCGGCCGACAGGGTCTGGTTTCCCTCAAGAATTCTGTGGCTAGAATCCCACAGCTGACTGATGCCCAGGCTCCCTCACCTCTGGGAAGTTCTTTCCCCCTTGGGCACAGGTTTCCCCAGGTGAGCTTCTACCTGGATTTTCCCAAGTTCTCCGGTGCTCTCCATTCGACTGGCAACATTGACCGTGTTTCCCCAGATGTCGTACTGAGGTTTTCGTGCCCCAATCACTCCAGCAATCACGGGCCCGTGGTTTATGCCTAAAGAACATGTTTGCAGTCAAGCAGATCATAGAGGCAAAGCCTCAGGCTTACAAGGCCACAGAATCCACCCGACGACCACAGAAAGCGTTGACAAAACAACTGCCATGAAGGTTGGAAGGGTGCTTCCTGAGTCTGACGGGAGGCGGTGCTTGGGATGGGGGGAGAGCGCTCCCTGCGCAGCTCTTTTTCAGACTGTGCTGGATGTGAGACCTGAGTCCACTGTTGACACTTCTTGTATCTACTAATCTCTTGAACAGTAAATGGCCTTTGAGCACTGACCCTGTTAGCTAACAGTGCCTACTTAGGTTAATGATTTTGCTTTGTTCTCAGTGTATTTAAGGTCACCTCTTTACGGCCAGGGATTTGGGCTTTCCATTCCCCGTAGTGATATATTCCTGTTTACTTAAAACTTGCCAAGGTAACTTCATAAATAGTACGCAAAGAATTCTTATTACCCAGTCACTGGGGTTTTAAGATCAGAAAGGGATTTCTAAAACTTTTCATAGCAGATGGCAACATACACCAGACTGAGAGTGGATTTGCTGGGAGGCGGGGGCTGCACAGTCCCACCCGGAGCTCAGGCCCACCCCGCCTTCCCAGGGCCTCACCAACTCGGAGGCGGAAGGAGTTGAAGGAGTGCCGGTTGATGCCATCCAGCTTGCTCATCAGGGCGGTGCTGAACTCCACCATGATGCCGATGTGGGCGTGCTGCCGCTCCAGGTCCTGCAGGACAGAGCACTCCATGGGGCCAGGGCCAATCACACCCCGTCTTCCTGCCTCCACCGGCTGTCAGACGGATGCTCCAGAACACCCTGACCTGCTGAGCGCTGTGCGCCAGCCTGGGCATGAAACCCACGGGGGACCACTGATGGGCAGAGATGTACCGAGGCTCCTCCACAGAGGGTCTAGGACCTGCTCGCCCACCTAAGCTCCCCTCCCAGTGAGGGGCCGCCTGCCCCAACCCCTCCACCAAAAGGCTCCCTCAGGCTGAGCCAAAGGAGGGGGCTCGGAGAGGTGTCGGCCCGGGGCTGTCTTGAATTTCCCCTCATCTGGGGCTGGGACATGAGACCACCAGATTGCCTGGGTACCTGGTTCTCGTGCCCTGAGGGGATGCTGAGCCCTGCAGCTGCCATGTACGTGCTGCCGATGGTCTTGATCTTCTCCACACCACTGAACTTGGGCTTTAACAGCAGCTGTAAGACGACAGAACGCAGGCCATACCACACGGCTGCAGCCCAGGCCTGTCCCAGACTCTGAGAAGGGTGTAGGATTCTCTCCCACCACCACTCCTGATGCAAACATTTCTCATGCGGGGGCCCTTCCCACCTGAGTTCACACCTCCGTACAGGTGGGGACACAGCCTCTGGGTTCTCTCCCTGCTGCTCCCTCGCCTCTGTTCCCTGACATTCCCTGTCTCTTCCATTCTCATCTGGTCTCATTCCTGCGAAGGAGCAAACACCCCGCCCAACAGTATCTACACAGGAATGTCGATTATTTGCAGCTAAGAGTTAAGCCCAAACTGAGTGACTTCCTTTGAAACAGGTTGCTAGCACGGGCTTAGCAGGAAATCAGCCTGTTCTACAACCTAAATCTAATCTAAGCAAGCTGCCCCTCACAGAGAAGACAGATTACATCGTGACAAAACAAACAAGCAAACGTGTAGGTACTTTTTATAATTTGGGTACCATGTGCTCTCCCTGTTCTCCCCAAGGGCGCCTCAGCACACGTGTTCAGTGGGCGCAGGGTGCCCCCGGCCCCACCCTGCCCTCTCCAGGCTGTGTGGAGGGAGGCCTTACCTCGTCAAAGTCAGCTATGATCTCGTTCAACAGGCGCAGGCACTCCAGCCCTTCCTTGTTGACGTCGCACTCCGTGTAGAATACTTTGAAGTCCGGCACAGATGCAAACATGACACACACGCAGTCATAGGACTGGTGGTACCAGTCCTGGATTGGGGGTGGGAAGAAACATGACCCTGTGGCCACCAGACCTCGTTGGGGCGGGTGGCGGG